TATTTAAATAAGCTGATATGATAGGTTTAAAAAGATTTTTTAATGGCTTGTGGACTAAACTTTTTAACTAAACAGACTTATAAAAAAATCATATGTTTTTCTTTTTAAAAATTCCAGCTCTGACCTAGGCTTATGTAGGCTGGATCGTATGCTCCTGTAGTTGGTCTGCTACATTCTCATTAGTTGTACTCCTTGACTTTTCTAATTAAAATTATTATATTATGTGATTACTCATTCCTCATATTATTTAATCATTATATCTTAATAATTAAACCTTGAACAACTTAAGTGAGCCCGTCAATCTTTTGATAAGTTACAATTCAATGTTAAACATTTATATGTTAATAGAAAAATACGAGTTCTAAGATTCTGCTCATATCCCTAGATGGTGGTAAGATGTGGTTTTATGTGTTGCGTAAATAATATTATCAAATGGTTTTGATGATGACAATTGTCAAATGGTTATATTGATAACAATTGTCAAAAAATTTGGATCACAACAACTCCTCCAAAGGTTCCTAATGATGACATATGAATAAGAAAGAGATATCACAAGTCTCATCAATAACATGTTTTAAGTTATAACTGAAGGTGATAGACAAAGTTTCATCAATAAAATGAACTTGAAGTTTTGAAATTGCAACACACATACACACACATCTCTTTTGATAAACTTCTTTAAATCAATTCAGGAAAGTTTCTAATTGATTATAGATTGTTTAATCAATTAGAAATATAAAATACACGGGCTAATTGATTAAGAGGTCCTTCTAATCAATTAAATCAAAGTGTAACGCATCTTAATCGATTAAGTGAAGTTGAAAATTAAACATTTCTATTTTAGCTTGGTTAATCGATTACGTACATAGTTTTAATCTATTAAATTATTGAAAAGACCCATCAATAATTTTTTTTAGCTAGATTTTTTACTAGACAAAGGAGATTTCTCCTAATTTCAAAATAAACCAGTTTCTAAATAAAAACTCTTTACAATCATTCTTTCTCTTTTTTTTATAAAATTCTTTTTTCGCTTGAATCTCTTTAGTGTTAAAAGAGTGAAAAAATTTATTTGAGAATTATGTCGTACTAGTCTTGTGCTAAAATCGTTTATACAAGAACATATTTCTCTTAAAATATTTTATAATAGATTTGTAGATTGGATACTAAACTTGTAAAAAGCTTAGATAAAAGTAATAAATACAAATATTAAGCATAGATATTTGATAAATAGCATAAGAAAAATATATTACACTAGCAATTGCATCTAAGTAAACAAGTTTCTTCCTAAGATAAAATGACCATCCCTCACAAAGGACATGTTTAACTACTCATAATACAATTAAATATCGTAAACTTGTCTCCTGAAGTGCAAAATCTTATCTTCAATCAAAATTTGGAATCCTTCCTATTTGGCATAAGTTTAACATTTATACTAGGACTTTTTTTTGTTTAATATTTAAGATGATTTTTAAATTGATGAATTCCCTACTATAAAATATACTTTTGGTAAAATCATATTATTACGGTCGTTTAAACAACCATAATAATAACTCATTTTAACGCGCCTGAATTTATTTTTATTTTATTAAATGATATTTCATCATAGTTCATAATAATAACAATGGTGATAGATGAAAGGTTATATGTTTTTAATCTCAGCACCAACAATTTTTTTTTTGTTACAAAATGGATTTATCCATATACTCTTAAAATTATATTAAACTAAAATGCATATCATCACGATTAATCAGAAACCACTGTGAATTGTACCGACATTTAATCACAGTTTTTCTTAACAACTGTGGTGGTAAGAAACACAAATCTCTAACATCTCTCTTTTTCACATCCAGCGTACTTGTATTTCTTCTTTCAAAGAACTCACATTTCTTCTTCTTCATACTAAAAATAATCAAGTTCAACATTGTTTCTTCTTTATCTTTCTTCTTCTAAAAGATAATCATGTTATTCATACGCTTTCTTCCATTTTTTCTTTGTATAAGTTCTAATATTCATCACTTTTAAAAAACTTTCAATGTACGTCACTCCTCGACCTACTTTATCCATTTTGTGTTACAAATAATTTTTATTTGTCATGGTGTTTTTTTATTTTGATTTCAGATGGTACAATATCTATGCACTGCATGTCAAATATATCAAAATGCTCATGAGCAATTTTGAATCATTTTTTTCCACTTGGATGAATCGATACGAAATTGTAGGAGTTTGAATAATGGTTATAATGTAAAGGTATTTACTCATATTAGATTAATTTATTAATAGTATTTTGTAAATACAAATAATGGTTAAAATATTTTATGATTACCCTTTTTCAAATTGATTTTACATCTAGTTATTAACAAGAATTTTGGTACCAAAAATCAATGACATATCATCATGCGGAGAAATCACAATAAATACATCTAATGAAATACCAAATTTTCTTTACGATGGATTTTTAAAAATAAGCACGAGTTAAGAGATCAATTAATAACTTCTAGTTATACAAAATATTTGATTATTGAAATAGATTGACCACGAGCAAACCACAAACGATGACGCTTCTATTTAGTCCACACAAACAAATATGTAAAGTGATTTCTCCCCCTATAATTCTACCTATGAACGAATTGGTGTCTTATAGATGACAAAAACTTAAAATACTAGTATGGATAAGGCTTTTAGAATACGTGAAAAAAGTGATTATCACTTGAGTTACATTTATAGAATCACTAATACGCATTGTAGCTTACGATATACATTGTTGCTCTAACTAACGCTCGAGCATCTTTAGAATGCATTGCCTAATCATACGTATGTCTTATTTATTTAATCCCTCGTTTAGTTATTTTTATGTGTGTGATTTTGTAGGTTTCCGTAACATTGTAAATAATATTAATTCACTTACTTAAAATTATAGACAAAGAGCGATGTCTAAAAACACATCACTGTTATCCCAAAAATAGGAATATCATATGTGCTGATATAACATTGATCCCATATATAATTATTTTTTTACTCTTATATATATCATGAAAACAAGTTATAGTTTGTATCATTCTTATATAATCAAATATTATCTCTCTCTCTCTCTCTCTCTCTCGGTATCTTAGTATACTTGGTACCAATAAATAAGCTCATATTGACTTATTTCAACAGGGTCACTCGTTTTACAATCATACTCAATCAAAGCAGTATGTAGATATTATTCCTCTATATGTATGATGAACAAATCTCATCTATATCACATATGTCCTTCCAAATAACTCATTAAATATCTAGTCATCCAAATTTTTAATTATCTTGTTACAACCAATGTTTGATGATATTAAAGTGATCAACTCCTCAAGTATAGTCTATAGTGATTTTAGGTCAAAGGGTAACACACACAATTATTATTATAAAAATAATTTATGATACTTATATAACACATCATGTAGTGTTCTTATGGAAGATCAATTCAATATAAATATTACTCATAATATTTATATTTATGTGAAGACTTAATATCTCATATACCTAACTTGTGAGACATAGTCATCAGTCTACTTATATATTAGTCTCTACACATTATTATTATTGTTCTATTTGACAATAAAACTTGACTACAAATACTTTTAGAATGAAATTCTTATATTTTAATGTTTCATTAAACATATTACTATTTTAGAAACTTTAATACTTTAAACAAAAACTTAATAAAGAAAATCTTTTAATTATAAATAATAAACATAATACAAGTTAATTTCAATCATGAAGGCATTCGTCTAAAGAGCTTGCACTAATATGTTATCATCTGGCATATCTAACAGAACAAAGTTCATGGAAAAATGAATTTGTCAACCATAATCTATAAGGATGCTTGATATAAGTATCAGCAAACTAGAGTGTCATCAATATGTTATTTAATGTTCTAATACCCGATTTGTTATTAATAGATAATGACATCAAACTTACGTTGACACCAAAATCAATAAGAGCGTTCTTGAATGTTTATCTCCAATGGTACTAGGGATGGTGACATTTTCAAGATTCTTGCGCTTTACGGATATCTTTTATGAATTTTGCATAAACTGAAATCTTCTCTTTCTCTAATGCTTCCGCATTTTTTAAATATTTGAAGGAATTTTTCAAAAGTGAATATATCTTTCATTTTCTTCAATCTCAAAAGATAAGGGAATCTTATCTCGAACTTCTGATCTTTTTCAACATGCTTAAGAATTTTCATCTCCATCTCCACTTTTATGATGTCAATATATGTTTCACTCTTCTTTCTTATCTCCCTGAGTGATTGTTCTTTGACCTGACTTCTAATAGTGACACCATTTACTCTATTATGGCCTCTTGTGTTGCTAGGAAAACTTCCTTGGCATATAATAGAGGCATCGGAATTTTAAAATGCAGACTATTCAGACATTTTGGGGTTTCAATAAGGTGTGTGATCTCTACATGGGTGTAGTAAAAAACACCCTTGTTTTTCCTTTAGTTTTAATTTTTAAAAAGTCAAAAAGGAAAATCTGGTTGACCTTGGTAAACAGTTCACCTGTTTGATCCGGTTTTTTTGGTTATTTTTCCGGTTTTGGGAGTGATATAAAACGGACACATGTCCAGTTTCCGGTCCAACCAGTTGATTTTTACTATATTTAAATATAAAAAAATCAGAAATAAAGTTTTACTCCAGCTTGCTGAATCGCCACTAGCATTAGAGGCCTTCTCAAAACTATATATAAAACCTTATACAAGGGGAAAGGGAATGGTGAGAGGGAGGGAAACAGAATGCTTATAATTTAACCACAGACTTCTATTTGCAAATTCTTTAGCTAATCATATTCAACATTGTTATACATCACTTGCATTAGAAGTTTACACATGTTCTATTCTGTTCATGGGAATTGGCATCACTGTGAGGTGTCACCAAACTGTTAGTGATGGAGTCTGAGATTAAACTGCTTGATTGAACAAGCACAGGGGATATATACCCAATCAACACAAGCTTTCATGTCTTAACCCTGTATATGCAATAGACCAACAAACAACACTTTCAATAAAAAAGAATCAAGAAACAAATAAACAACTTTAAAAAAACAAAAGTCAATTAGACCTGCTGACTCATGAGTATTTCCACTGCTACATTAAGATCACCATCAGCAGCTGCCAGCGCCACTTCCACTTGCGTCTGAAAGCAGCACAAGAAAAATGCATAAAAACACAAAATTGAGCTGTAGGTTTTAATCTATACATTTGATGCACTTGCATAAAAATGATACTAAAAAGGACCCAAAAGGAGATTAAACCCCAATATATTACATTTGATTTTTTAGATGAGAAAAACGTTCTCCGATGCTCAATTCATTTTTCATGACAACTTAAAAGATATTGAAACTGATTTTTACCCTATCAAAGCCCATTGCTACAAGTTTTTTAATCTCGTCTTCTGAAACAACTGCTACCTGCAAGAGAAAACAATAATGAATATTAAATATCAATATTAAATAAAGAAAACAAGAAATCTTCAACCACAGTAAGTAAAAGACCTGATGATGTGGAACACCCGCTCCTGTTGTAGCTACATTAGCGACTGGATGCCTAAGTTAAATTAAAAAATTAAGTGAACAACATTTCAAACATATTATGGTAGTTTTGAAAATATTTCAGTATTACTGAGATATTTAACTTAAACTTATCAATCCAAGCAAAAGATATTATACTATAATATCATGGAGCATACTTTGTTTAGTTCCCAACTGCCTATTTCCAGTGATAACAACAAAGAGACTAAACGACACATTTGTTAAACATGTAACCTAAACCCAGTAAAATCCATGTTACTGGTACTGATGAATGAGTTAAACTTAAGAGCAAGCAAACCTAAACCCAGTAAAATCCATGTTACTGGTACCGAAAAACAAGTTTAACTTAAGAGCAAGCAAACAATGGCTAACCATCAACCAATTTACAACTCAGTGAACCCTTTCATTGATATAATTGGAAATCAAGGGATAACTGATTATAAAGAAACTGGTTCAGTGTAATTTCTCATTCTGCAGATGAGATGCTTATAATTTAGTTATATATCAAGCATAAATCTTAAATTCTAATGATAATTGACATATAACTTGAACTACTTATGGAGTATTCTATTAGCCTATAGATAAAGTCATGTTAATTATTTTGTCAATTTAAAGCTAAATAGATATACTCTTAAAATTTGAGTTGAGCCTAACTCATTCCTACAAAACAGGTTTGTAAGGTAAAGGTTGTCACTTTATATAAACTTTTTCCCAGTTCTATTGGTAACCAATGTGAGAATTGGGATTTTCCCAATACGCCCCGTCACGCACAGCACTATTGGGCTTGGTGTGTGAATATAAATGGTGGGTGGCCCGTGGCTTGATCGATAGGCTCTAGGACCATCTTAGAATTGTGGTTGGCCTTAACTCATCCCAACAAAATATACTTTGTACTCTTGAAAATATATTCTATCAATAATTGCACCAATGTATGTTCTATTCAGGATAGACGTTATAACTTAAAATCAAATGCTTGTTGTCCATTGCCAACGGGAAAGCAATCTGCATGCCAAGCTCATCTAACTGTTGGATTCAAGTTGGAATTGCCACTCCTAGAAAAAACACTATATCAGGCTATGTCTCATGCTCTAAGAACTAAGAATGTGGTCAAACTACAAAGGAAAATATGATTGTGGTCTCAGCAAACTGAAATTCAACTGACAATAAAACAACCACCATATGTTACCAATCATGCATACAACTATCCCTCATACCTTCCTTCTGTTGACCTTTGAGTAGTATTCAGAATGGGTGAATCTGAAATATGATCAGGACTACTGTCCTCCAAGAGTCTAGCTTGAAGATTTGAATCGGAATGAAAACCAGAAGCAGTTTGACCTTGAACAGCACCGAGGGTCCTTCCCCTCCCAGGGAACCTACTGTCCTCAACTGACTGCAAGGTTTCATATAATACAATCAAGTGCTTATAAATGGATGCCTCTGGCTTACAGAATATTATATTTTTGAAAAAGTAAACGAGAATATAGACATGGAAACTTGCAATTAACAATATATTGCATAAGAGGTAGGGACATAGTTTCACCATTTAAAACTGTTATTGCTAACCGACAGGCACAACAAGAAGCATAGCCAGTTGTTAAACAGCTTGAAATGGGTGGATAACATATAATTCAAGTAAAAAGGGAAAAATCATGTTAAGTCACATTTAATGTTCCCAATAATGAAGTGGAATTTCTATAATAAGAAAAGCACTTTAAGTTATTTTTCTAAAAGCAGTTGCTGATGTTGCAGCCTTAGATCAATTGATGAATCTGAAGGGAACAATTTGAAGTATGAAATTTTGTCGAGTTGAAGATGAAAGATTAACTCCAAAAAAAATCCCAGACAAAAAATTCTAAAACTAACCAAATGCTTGGGTTTTTACAAAATTACCTGAAGAACTATTAATGCCTTAAAAGAGGGAAACATGACTAGTTTGCCAACGAAATGGCAAGAGATAAACATAAAGCCAGGCAGAAAAAAAAATATATCTGTGCAAAAGTTGTCTTCATACTTGCAGAAGTTAGAACAATAGTGAACGAGTAACGTACACACGAATAACTATTCATTGCATTTGTTTTCACATGATGCAACTGATAATCAATGTCAAAATAACATACTTTTACAAAATCAACTCTACAGAAACCGACTTGATCAAAAGATCACGTAAGATCTCTGTATTTATACTTCTCATGAATGTAGTGTGCAAAAGTTTCATTGCAGTTGTTCACATTATATTAAAGCCAACAAAAAAGTGCAAGATTACTTAGGGACTACCAAAAGCATATGAAAAGAGGAGTCACATACCAGAGGCTGGGCTTCCCTTCGAGGCATCCATGATGATAGGTTCCTCCAAATATTTCCGGAAAATAATCCTCTGCCCCATGAAAGTGTATATTTAAAATGCAGATTGGTAGATATCCAGTGCCATCAGTACGCTTTAGTGTGAAAATCATAGAACTTACCCAGAGGTTGAGTTTTGGCTTGTTTGTGTAGGGATATGGCTAGAAGGATTTCCACCAGTGCAAACAATAAATTTAGGACGTCTCACACATGATGACTGAAAGTCAAAAGGAAGAACATTTACAAAAAGTCTACATATGATGATATATAACCATTTATTTTAAAAAATAAAAAAAAAAAATGTGTGCCTATTGGATGCTTTTTCCATTTAAAAATAGAAGTGGTTACTAAGATATAATTTTTTTTCATCAAATAAAAAAAAGAAATATTATATTTTAAAAACTCCAGTATAACTAGTTCAGTACACCAATTCATTTTGTGAGTTCAATTAGCCCCCAGAAAATAGGAGATTAAATTAACCACTCCAATGGTTGATTGAATCAATATATGATTAAATGTTTTAACAGTTCAAGAAAAGTAACCACCGCCTGCTTGGGGTCGGTTACATGGATCAAACGACGTCATAATATTCTATCATATATCATATCTCTAGATCTTTCTTAATAGTTTTCCTATGCCTTTGTTTGCCTCTTGTTATTTGACAACTCTCTATCTAGTTTACTCTATCGACAACAGAATCTACAGCTCTATCCTCTACATGTCCAAACCACCTAAGTCAAGTTTCCACCATCTTTTCAACAATAGGTGTTATCCCAACTCACCCCCTAATGTTATCAACGCATAATATTATTTGTATCATGCATAGCAACATGAAGATATAGAGAGAGCAATCAGAAATTTACAACTGAAATGGATTTGAGAGTCTCTAATTGGAACTGAAGGTAACCCCATTGGATGGTTGAGGATAGAGGGTTGAGATAATAAAGACATAAGACGTTGCAGATAAATAAGAACGGGGTTGAGAGGGAGAAATGGCTACTCATTTGTAAGTGAAATATGGTCTTAGAGCAGGCGACTTATAAACCCTTGAAGTCATGCAGTGTTCTTTATTTGTAATTGGGGTTTATTTTTACTTACTAGTAAAAAAACGAATACCGGTGCCTTAGACATTAGACTTAAAATCATGCAAGTAGAAGCTGTTAGTTTTCTCATCTTGGTGTGTTACAAAAGCCAGATCAAGAAAGAAACTTACAAGCCAGGAGGAGGCTTCAATTGAAGAATAAAAGGATGGCCCGGGTATGAGGAAATTAAACAAACCATATGTATCTGAAACAACAAGCATTGCATTATAATATCAGAGGTGAGTAGTTCAAGTTATTGGAAAAAGAAAAGTAAAACGGGGAAAGAATAAAGAGAGAAATCTTACAAGCAAACCCAGATACAATGCCAGAAAGGTGTCCGAGTAGGGAGACATTTTGCATGAGGAGCTGGAACACTACCAACAAAAAAAATGCATACCTAAAACATAATATGCCTAATTATCACGGAAGTGACTTATCTAGATAAAATATTATTCTTAAAAGCTACACAAATTAAATTTGTTTTTTTGTACCAATAAAAATAACAATTTTTGATTGTGTACATACTAAAATTGTATTTATTTTTAGTCCTTAAAAAAAACAAAGCATATTCCTTTAGTCCCGAACTCTCTGGCGAGGGATTAAAAACTCATTGTTTTTGTTAAATACAGGAACTATAAACAAATAAAATTTAAATAGAGATTCAAACAGAAAAAACGTCCAAAAACATATTTAACCCAAAACTATACTCACCACTTGGCAGGCACATTAAACAACCCAAACACGCTGCAAAATGAATACAAAACAGTTAGTAAGTTCTTACAGATTCACGATTCTTAATATTGTATATCTGTCAAATGTTTAGTCTCTTCTCAGCAAAACAAACATATAAAACCATTGCACAGTGAACTGCTAGGTAAAATTTTCTCAATAAATATGATAATATGGCTATCATCATTCATTTCTCATTGTGAAGATAACAATATCAAAAGGCTAAAAGATGCATTGGGTCCCTATAAAATTGGCAAATTTGGGTATTGATCCTATAAAACTTCAATCGTTTTTAGTAAGGGCCTAAGACACTAGTTTTGTTTGAACAAAATAAAAATTATATGTAACATAATCAACATTTACCACTTTTTAAGAATGAAAAGCATATCTTAGTCTTCCGAACATAATCATTTGTGATAACACTCTTTCAAGATATTACTAATTCAGCCTATTGAACAGCTTCCAAATTGTGGTTTCTACCAACTTATCTTAAAGAAAAACACGGTTTGTTAGTCTATTAAACTTCATATTTCTAGTAGTGTTAAATTCCTAGACAGCAGCTATATATATAAAACCAACCTCCGCGATTGAACTCCACTCAAGCTTGTCTCTATAACAATCATCGAAAACAGAACTCCTGAGAACCCAACAGCACACTCATTCATGAGGTAAACATTCGTAACAAAAGGATTATATTTCACCAACACTGCTACGAGAACATGGAATATAGCGTTGCTCGTAGCCAACAAAATAGTAAGATACAGCAAGCGAACAGATCCCATGATCCTCTCCAGCTCAGATCCCAAAGGAATAAAAGCCATCATGTTGAAAAGAACATGAAGCATCGAAAGGTGGAAAAAAATGGAAGTATAAATCCTGTAAACTGCATGAATAAAACAAGTATTCATTCACTAATGCTCTGTAGCACCAACACCTCTGAAAAAATAAAATGTGTGTCTGTATCAGTAACGGTGTCCAAAACCGACACCAACACTTATGATTACATTTAATTTATTTATTTTTTCAAATTATTACTAGTGTCGACTGTCAGTGTTGTGTTTCTGGTGAATATACGTACCTTGAAATTGGGTTACAACAGCAGAGGGCAAGAAACATATCTCAGCAAAGGAATCATATCCAACCAAGAGACAAACAAAGTAAATTACTCCACAGACAATAACTACTGCAGAAGTGAGAAATGGAATGCTTTCCCAATACTGATTCACCCTAGTAGACAACCCTGCCTGTGTCAATTACACCACATCCAAGATAATTAATTAATCATAGTCTCTATGTAACAATTCTAAAACTAGAGTTAACTGAATTTGAGAATCAAAAAGTGATAAAAATAATTAAAAACAGCGAATTGTGAATTCAGAGCTTCCGAAGTTTGAGATGATTCATATAGCAATAAGCGACTTTCGAGATCGGGAAATTACCTCAGAAACGATATTCGGTCTCATGATTCTTGGTCTTGGCATGCAACAAGGTGAGTGGAATCACCGGTTTGTGATTCAGTTTTGGGAATGGGAATGCTGAGTGACCTATAATTGACTCGCGAAAACCGTAGAAAATCACTTTTCTACTTCTCTGTTCTTTCACTTTCTCTCGAGTTCGGATTGAAATCCCAAAGTGCAAATTGTCAATTTTCAAAAAAACTAATTATTTAAACTTATTTCCTTTTTTACCCTAACTATTGCTACCAAAATCTCTTAATACAGAGTTAAGTAATGTAGTTTATTTTATGGATGTTGCTAACTTCTCTTGCGTTAAGAAATGGGTAATTGTAATATATATATATATATATATATATATATATATATATATATATATATATATATATATATATATATATATATATATATATATATATATATATATATATATATATATATATATATATATATATATATATATATATATATATATATATTCATCTTTGATGGTGTTATCGAAAATTCAAAAATGTTTTCATGAGTTTAGATATGTATTTTGAAATGCATCTAATAAAACACTAAAATGCGTTTTTCTGAAATTTTATATTTTAAAAAATATAGTTCAGAAATGCATCTTCGTATATTATTTTGATATATCCGAAGATGCATCTCTAAAATACTCAATGCATTCATTTTTATATGGTTTTGTTATTCATTCAACTGGATTAAATAACAAGTCAGTGATATTCTCGAATATGTATCTCTAGAAATGTCCAATTTGATTTGATAAAACACAATCTTGTATGAACTTCTTCTTCATACTAAAAAAGAAACTCTATAGAAAAATGAGAGAAGGATCGTCGATTTACTCATCGTCATCTCAATCATACACAAAGATATATGGGACAAAGCAAATTATGATACATTAGCGTTTGTGCTCATTTGTCCGACTTTTTTTAATGCGCTAACGCGTGCAGTTTTTTTTATGATGTTTTTGACATATATTTCATTAAAAATAATATTACTTAGGAACAGTTATAAAAAAAATAAAAATATATGTAGAAATCATATAAATTATTAATGGATACAAAATAATAAATAATTAATATTCACATATTTTGTAATAAAAGACATTAATAATGTTACTATTATTTTTCATGCTAGATGTTGTGTTCAATAAATAAAAAAGCATATTTAAAAAAGAAAATAATATGGTAACAGTTATTTGTTTTTGTAACTTACTCTTTTCTTATAACTTATTTGTGGATGTTGTCACTAATACGTGTTTCCTCTCTCTCTTTTTGTCACTTTCTCTTCGTCTCTCTCTAACTCTTTTTTTTATATCACTCACCAGTTTCTCTACCTCTCTATATATCCTAATCTCCTTTGCACATGACATTCATTTGTTCCTCTTTCTTTGTTTTGTTAAGTAGTTAATAACTGATTCATTAAAGGAAAAATCATGACGAAAACATAAACACAAATACCTTCAATCTTTAAACGATATTCAACCCTTTATATCATTCATCGCCTTAGACTTGACATTATACAAAATAAAAAAACTCTAAAGCCTATATTTAACATTATATGATACAAATTGTAGTTTTGTTTGTGAATGTGAATCCTATAGATGACAAGATTAGAGATTATTTTCAATAACAACCTATACAATATAATTAAGTATCATATATTTTTTTTGGATATTTTAAAAATGATCAATTATTTTCTGATGCATTGATAAAAATAAAAATATATAATTCAAGTTTGTATTTCTGAGAAGTTGAACGGTGTTATAGTAAGTGACTTGACTGATGAGAATGGTGCGTGGGACAGGAAGTTAATGCAGGCATGGATTTTTATCGAGATTACAAACAAAATGCAGGTTGGAAACAGAAGAGATGAATGTGCTTAGAATGGTAGAAAATTAAATAGTTGTAATAAGTTAATAATAAAAATAATACATGTATAATCGGTTGGTAAGGTGAGGGGTGTCACTCTATATAAACTATTCCAATGCTCTATCTTCAACCAATGTGGGACTTTAGGATTTTCCTAATACACCCCCTCACGCCCAGCACTCTTTTTGGCTCTGATACTGTAACACCCCCTTTCTATACCCCAAAATAAAGATAATCAAATCATATAGTCACGAATACAAGTCTATCTTTTCATCAGAGTATATTAACATTATGGTATAAAAGGAGTGCGTCACATTATTCACGAAACGACCACATGAATATTAATGTTTAAAAAGAATTTACTCAAAAGGGGTAAATCTCAACTAAAAATTAACGCATGGTTCTTAGGAATTACATATTCATGTTTTCTATTAAAGCGGAAGACTAAAATATAGATTCACTTAAGGCATGACAAAACGCAAGTACATGTCATCAGGTTGTTCACAACTTCATTCACAGTTAAGCAAATATCATCATCTAATACATAAATAACGTATCACCAAGATACTCTACAAGCCTATCTACCCGAGTTTACATATCAGAGCGACCGACTCGAGGGAAAAGAGCTATACTCCAAAGGAAACCTCCAGCAAATCCTTATCTGCAATGCCTCGTAGAGCATTATAAAACAGCAGAAGGGTGAGAAATATTACCATAATAACCAAAGCACATAATTATATATATATATATATATATATATATATATATATATATATATATATATATATATATATATATATATATATATATATATATATATATATATATATATATATATATATATATATATATATATATATATATATATATATATATATATATATATATATATATGTATATGTATATATACATACACAAGTACCAAATACCTATGTTCCACAGTTTTTCACTATGATGCATATTAACATGCCAACAATACATATAATAGATTCTCACTACATCAAATACACCTATCTTACTTCTCACTACAATGTCTCACGATCCACTAACATACATCGTAATGCATATATGTATAAAACTAAGCATTTCCTCATGCATACATTCATAATTACAATTAATCCACATATATGTATACATTATGTTTCATTCACCCCTAATCATGTAAACATATACAGTCATACTTAATCATCAATTCCATCTTTGGATTATGGGTACGTCACTTATACCCTACCAGGAACAACATCTCAGTTATTCTACCTCGGTAACTACTTCACTAGGAACGACATATTGCCATTCTACCCTAGTGAGTACAATTCTTCCACATATACTTCATCATCATCACCATTCTCATATTTATCAGTCAAAATAAATATAAATGCACTATTTTATTCTCAGACATTACTCACAATTCATCATATACATTATGATGCATATACATATATATACACACAACCAAGCATATTCAATCATGCTTCTATAATTCACATCATTATCGCACAACATTTACAATTATGTTTATTTCCCCTCCAATTCTCATAAACAGATATATATACATGTTTATTTTACCAATTCATCATATGAAGATGATAAAGCAACTCATAGAGACCGATTCCACGACTCTATGCAGATGCGAATGCGGTACCGACTCATTCGTCCGTCAGATTCTCCTAGGAATCACTCCTCTCACACCTATACGGTTACACTATAACTCATCAGATTCTCCTATGAATCTATCACTTATCAGATTCTCCACGGAATCAAATACAACCATCGCATCAAGCGAGGTTCTGCAGATTCTCCACGGAATCAAATATAACCATTGCATCAAGCGAGGTTCTGCAGATTCTCCATGGAATCAAATATAACCATCGCATCAAGCGAGGTTCTGCAGATTCTCCACGGATCAAATATAACCATCGCATCAAGCGAGGTTCTGCAGATTCTCCACGGAATCAAATATAACCATCGCATCAAGCGAGGTTCTGCAGATTCTCCACGAAATCAAATATAACCATCGCATCAAGCGAGGTTCTGCAGATTCTCCATGGAATCAAATATAACCATCGAATCAAGCGAGGTTCTGCAGATTCTCCATGGAATCAAATATAACCATCGCATCAAGCGAGGTTCTGCAGATTCTCCATGGAATCAATTCATACAAACATCATACATCGCAACGTATACCACATGACACGTTCCTCATTCATGTCAAACCGTCATGCTCTTTTAATCGAATTAAACAATGCACAAAATTGCCCAAACGACCACAATTCATGATATAGGATTCACGTCATTCGGCTACCCATAGCACATCACAAATCAGCACACAACTATTAAATCAAAGAAGGGTCGATCGCAACCGGAACCCCAAGCCACAACAGCAGAGAAAACTCATCTTGCTACGTTCGCTACACGCTCGCCTAGTGAGCTGCTAGCGAGCATTCGCTGCCTTCTCGCCTAGCGAACTGCTAGCGAGCAAGAACAGAAGCTACAGACTTCGTTCGCTACCCCGTTCGCCACAGCGAACCTTCAGCGAGTCATTCGCTACTCCCTTCTCCTTCAGCGAAGAATGCAAAAACCTTACTGTCCCAAGTCTGTGACCCTTCGCTACGCACTCGCCTAGCGAGCTGCTAGCGAGTCGCCTGCGAACAGCAACATTCAGTTCTGTCCCAGCACCTCCGAACTCACCTAAATCACCCGATTAAATCCAAAGTTGTTCTAGTAGTCTTAGTCTAAGATATATCGACTAACCTACATCATCCATTCGCGATTCTAACCATCCAACTTCGACCTAGAAATGGAAAATGAGTAGAAACCCCAACAAATCCAACACAAATATACATAATCATACACATTGATTAAGATAGTAAGATTTCACACCCTTACCTTGATTGAATCGAAGCTTTGAGTTGCTCTTGATGATTTCCACACTTTTCTTCCTCTCTTCTCTTTTCTCTTCCTTTTCCTTCTTTTTTTCCTTTCTTTTTATTTCTATTCTTTTTATATTTCCTTCCATTTTATTCCCTTCATAATATATATATATATATATATATATATATATATATATATATATATATATATATATATATATATATATATATATATATATATATATATATATATATATATTCCAATCAATTTCCATAA